GTGTGCGCGTGTGTGTGTGTGTGTGTGCGTGTGTGTGTGTGTGTGTGTGTGTGCGTGTGTGTGTGTGTGTGTGTGTGTGTGTATGCATGCGCATTTTTGTGCCATTGTAATGCCGATTTATCAGTTATCTCTGTAAAGGATCTGGATAAAATCTCTACCTATTAGTTTTGCAGAGTGGGCAGTGCATGTTGTTACAGGAGTCGCCTGCTCTGGTGCATGTTCATCAGACGAGGCAGGAATTCTTGTTCCTCATGTGGGTCAAATTCTCAGGTTATTGAAGGATGCTTGAACACCCACATTCTGTAAACTTTCAGTCCAGTCCAGCCTTTTAGATTAGGACTAACTGAGACAACAGACCACAATGAATAAAGTATCTTTTTTTAAATTAAAGGCTGTAATTTGTAGCAAAGCAAAGCAGTAAATTAAAATTATTAGTCACTGTTTTGTCCTTTTTGAATCAGGATAGCGCTTTTATGTGCTATAATTCTATCAGAGGGTCTTATGTAGGATCAACACAAATTAAGAGTTGCAGTTAGTGAGCCTAATTGTTTTTAAACCGGTTATAGAGCTTTTTTAGGCCCAGGAGACTAAGATATAGACCTGGTTTGTTGTTTGAGTCACTGATTGAAACCTGGCCTGACCCTCAGTGTTTCCACCGCTATCCATGAGGATAAAAACCAAGCAGCGCAGGTATTAACGGCGTCTGTGCAAGCTGAAGCAAGTCGTGTCTGAAGAGTGTTTATCGCAGCAAAGGGCGCCACATCATCCTTCATTTCCATTCGCCATTTGAACTTTTCTACTGTGTGTCCAAAACGCGAGCATCCTCAACTTGAGCTGAGTGTGAGCAGGTTCAGCTCGTGTGTGCTTTTCTGTTAACGGTCTCTTCTCCTCTATGTGACTGCAGGTTCCTGAGGGGCCGCAGAGTGGCCGGGCGGTTTGATTGGCTGGTGGAGGGCTCGTGCTGATTGCTGATTATTGGTGCTGGGGAGGGTGACTAAGAAAGAGAGAGAGCGGAAAAGGGAGAGAGGGAGGTGGAGGAGGTCGGAGATTAGGCGAGCTGCCGGGGAGGTTTGCATGTCTGCATGCTCACGTGTCCATAAGCAGCAAAGCATTCTGGGCTTTCAGAGGAGGGAGGTAGAAGAGATGATGCCAAAGCCACGAACAAGCAATAAAGGATTTAATATCTTCACATGAGATCCAAACCCACCTCTGAGCTGTGGACCATTTTTGTCTTTCAGGGTAGGAAGTAGCAACCACAGCAGTTTATTAGCTACACCAAGCTCAGCTGCATGCAGTCCTGACATTAAGTGAGAATTGTAAAGACTTTATGTTGAAACTACAGAAAGCTCCGGATTTTACCAACTACTTCCTGTTAAACCATCATAAGCAGCTTCAGTAAAATCTGAGCATCGATCTTTTATTTCTGTGCCACGCTGCTCACTTTGTGGGCCTTTATGTCGAGCTGCCCTGTTCTGACCTTGTATCGATGGGTCACCTGTACAAATGTGACTAAATATAACAAATGGATTTTAAAGGTAGGTTAGGACCACTTCTGCTTGGTGAACCTAATAAACTGATTAGTTTTACATTTTTTGAATTTCTTTTAGTGTTAAATATCAGCTTATCCCTTCTATAAATTACATTACTCTCTGTATCCGCTGGACACAGTGTTTGGGGGCAAGTCTTAAAATTTTTCTCCTATAATAACAAAGTTGTTTTTTATAAGTGCCCCACAAGTACAACTTGTTCCCACCTTGCTGGTTTATTTATTTAAAAATTTCTCACCATATTTTTTAAACTGTATCTCTCACACACACACACATACACACACTTTCTCCCAGACTTTGCGTCCAGCTTGTGGCAAGATTTAAATAAATAAATTAAAAATAACAGCAGACGTCAGAGTCCACGCCAGGGTTTTCTTATCTTTCAGGGTCAGGTGCTCATCCAGCATTTGCTGCCACTAACAACAGTCAGTCCTGTCCCGCTCACTCCTCATCCTTATCTGTGCTGTGTTGGTGTCTGCCTGCCTGAGCCACTCTGCTCCTCGTTGCCTGCCTTCACTCTCTTACAGTCGCATGTGGGGTTTTTGTTTTTTGTTTTTTTAAAAATAATGTGTCATAAATGTGTCTCAGCTATGATCCTGTGCGAGTTTTCTTTCTTTCCTTCCACCTGTGACTGTGCATATGTGACTCCAGCTCTGTGTGTGTCGAATGCCATGATGTTCCAGCATGAATGGGATTTTGTTCGGTTTAATGTCTCCGTGCGGCTCATTAGACAGATAGCAGGACTATCGGGGAAATACAAGCCCTCTCTCCCCTCTTTCCGTTTTTCTTTCTTCTCCTTTTCCTCGTTGGGTTGCGATTCCACCAGTTGACCAGCAGATGGCGGCCTTCCCTCACCAAACCACAGCTCTGCTCGCTCCGGACTGTGCCTGAACACCAAACTAAGAAAGAGGAGGAGGAGCTCCGGTGTCTTTGCTATTAAGACTGCCTTAAAACTTCACCTTGTTTTCCTGTGGATGGATTTTTCTCACAAGCATAAAACGATGCGTCTGCTTTTCCGCCTGACTACATCTCCCATCGGCCAACTGGGCTGACCTGACCTCTATCGGGCGACTGAAGAGGTTTCCCATTTAATAGGTTGTACATGTGAATGTGATGACAAGCACGCATGCATCAGCGACATGTACTCGTGTACGGAAGGCCAAACATTTACACATACCAATGAGTTTTTTGTCCCCTCCCTGGCCCCCGGCTTAATAGGCTTTCCATACATGTGAACATGTTAATTTGTGCACATGTGCGTTTTTGTTAGTTTTTAACCATTGAATGATTTGTACATATTAACATCTGTCATGTTGAATGTGTTTCCGTGGTGATTGTTTTTAGGTTTATCGGCCATTTTTATGAGAGACATGTTTTGAATTGAACCGATGCACTTTGTCCGAAAGTACTACAGCATTTAAATCTGACAAACAGTGACTAGATGAATGAATGAATGAAGGTGAGAGACACGTGAACTATCTGAATGACCCCTGTGCAGACGTGAGAAACCAAACAAATAAGCGTGAGTAATTTCTCTTGACTGTTTTATACTCTTTTTGTATCTCATTTTGAGCAAAGAGGCTTTTTTTTTTGTGCATGATTTTGTAGTCTTTGAATTCATTCACCAGTTAGTTTATTTTTTTTAATGGCCCACTTGATCTTCTGTTAGACTAACAAAATTATACACCTACTACTTAACGTAAAAAGCCGCCAACGATTCATCTCACGTGACGTAAGTGTAAACAGCAGGTGGCCATGCTTTCGTTGTAATCTATGTTTCTTTGATGAAGCTGTGAACCGTGCAGAACAATGCTGTAGATGTTGTTACTTGAACTTTTCGCCCCGCCCTCTTCATCTAGGACTACAACTGATACTTCCAGGACTTGTTCAGTGTACATTTGATTTGATTTGCAAAGACATCACCAAGCTTCATCAGTGATTTTTCTTATGTGTACATATGACTTTTTGTTCCAGTGTTAATGCAGTCATATCAGGTCATCCAGTTTCTGCTTTAAAGCAGTGAAGACCACAGCTAATAGTTTTTAATCGCCGGACAGTCAAGTGTAACAATTATGAACGAGTTGCAACAAACTGCAAGATATGACTTCCAGTTAGCTTCACATATGAGAAGCTTGAATGTTCCACTGATTGTTTCAGCATTCAAACTTACCCCACCATAACCTTCAGGCCATTATTGTCAGACAGCGAAATCATGTTGTGAGTGTGATAAACTTCCAACAGGAATACGATTAAAATTTTGCTGACATTTATGTTGCAGAGCATTTAGAATGGTAAGCATTTCATGCAAACCCTTAACTAGATGTGATGCTTTAAATGTGACTGCTACACTTTGGTTTGGCTCAAGGCCCGTTTGGAGCGTGCCGTCCCTATAGAGCTGCTGAGTGATGCAGCAGTTTGCAAGTGAGAAAACACACCAGACTCCAAATATATGCATAAAACTGTGTATTCTAATGGACACTGTGCTGTAACTCTGAATATAATGCAAAAGTACTAAATAACAATTGAGCTTTGACGCTATACTAAATCTGCAGTAAGTTTTATGTACAAACGGTTTGTTTTTTAATAACACTGTGAGCGTGGTGCTGTTCACTACCCAGCAAAAACCACATGTTCTCCACATTCCTGTTTTTGTCCTGTGGAAACTTTGTATCCAGCAACCATGTAAAGATACTTTCCAGCTGTTTAAACTTTTTATTTAAAATCAGAAAGAAATACAAGAACAGCAGGTGCAAGGTGCTTTAGCAGGATGTTAACATGTAAATCTGTGTTTCTACCATGTTGTAACCAATTGCAGTACTTCTCTTTTCGTATTGTTGTGCACATCTTTTTACTTTGAATGTCTTTGGACACTTTGTGAACAAAATGCTTTTTTTCTTCTCTCAGAATATTGTTCTAATAAAATAAGCAGCATTGAAAAGAAGTGGAGTTGTTTCAGTGGAAATTTGTGGAAGATTTTAGAACAATGACAGTGCACACATTCAATGGTAACACGCTCAACTTCTCCAGATCGTGCTTATGGCATTTAATCTTACCACAGTAGTTCATAATAATATAAACATTAAAATTTATCAGCATGTTTTTTTTTTCTTAAACAGTCATCTACAGAAAGTATTTACAGTCTATTATTAACATGCTTTAAATATGTACAGCTTTAATGTCTTGCTTATTAACATATTTCCATTATTTCTGCGTGTGTGTCTGTACAAACACATTACTCAGGCACACAGATCATGACTTTCTGCTCTCAGATATTTACCTCTTTTATTGCTGGGTGAGCGGTGTTTGTAGCAAATGGCCACATAGATTTAAAGTGCCCTGATTATTATATATATATTTGTTGTTATGTAACATACCAGCATAATAGTGCAAAGCTAATGAGGCTAACAGAAAACAGAACAAAAATACAAACTTTAAGACTGTTGGCAATTGTCCGTCCTTTTTCTCTATCACTTGTTCAGGTGCCGCAGGTGTTGTGACATTTTTCAACCTGCTAATATACGCTGACGACATCGAGCAACATCATATGACAGAAATAACCACACACACACACACACGTTAGTCATCTTAAAGAGAGCACTGCAGACAAAGGCTAAAAACAGCTGCTGGAGCAATGTACAGTATGAGAACGTCAATGTGGCGTTATTTATTTATTTTTTTACCAGGCCATTTAAACCCTGAACACAGAGATACAACCACACCTACAGTCAGTGTAGAAAGACCATTTCACCTGAAGTGCATGTCTTGGGACTGTGCAAGGAAACCCATGCAAGCACAGGGAGATCATGCAAACTCCACACGCAAAGGCCCAGCTGCTGTGAGATGACACCCGCACCACCGTGCTGCTGCTCATCAGTCATTCTAATTAGACGCACAAGTGATTTGTGTACAGACAGTACACACACCCTTTTCTTGTTACCCCCTCTACACCCTGATTTTCAAAACAGTGATATAGACCGACTAAAACAGCTGGAAACGATGGACAGCTGTTCCACTGAAAATGAATGAACATGAATGAGTATGAATCAGTTTACCCAAGTTAGTCTCAAATCCACTGTTGCAAAGTTAAACACAACCATGTGATATTAACTTATCAATGTGATTAAAAGTGGATCAGTGTTCACATCACTTCCTGAAATAGCTTCCACTGCATCAGTCTGATTAAAAAAGTTAAAAGCGAGATGTGTCTGAGGTGTTTGGGTGCAGACATCACTTTCCAGTCTAGTGTGTCATGACAGCGGTAATATTTTTTGAGCTTTCCAGTGTTTTATTTGACTGAAACTACTTAGCTGTAAAGGTTTTTTTCTGGTGATTGTCCGTACTGTAAATTCATTCTTTCTCCTTCCTAAAATTTGTATTTATTCCCCTTAATCCTTTTCTCAGACAAAGGGAATCAGAAGCTGTTTCACTCTAAAAAGCCATCAGGCAAACCTGGGATGTGTAATATTGGGCTACATAATTAAAGCTGACCTGACGGGTCAGTGAACATCTGGACTGAAAAAAAGGAGTTCTGTTTTCACAGATGTTCTGAAGCTTTTCATGAATGAAATGAGCCCGGCTTTGGTTCACATTCCATCAGCGCACATTGACCTGAAGGTGAACGTTCCTGCCTGCTGTGCTGCTGAGCGCCTTCAGAGAACAGTGATCCTCCTGATGATCCTGATTGGCTCACTAATCACTTCCTGTCTTTTCTGTTGTGCTGTGTTCGCGTAGAAGAAGTCAGATTATGGTTGGTGTTGTAGATGGAGGCTCCAGTTTCCGTGACAACGCAGTGAGGATGAGGTTGAATTTGTTGTAGCGATCTGATTGGTTGACCGTAGCTCCGCGACTTCCCCAGAGCAGTCGCAGCTGAAAGTCTGTCTTAAACACTTCGAGCAGATCGTCGTCACACTGAAACCCTAAAGAACAAACACACAGGTGGATTTTATTTATTCATTTGTTTTTAAAGGAACACGTGACGCCCGTTTTTGGTAGAATTTGGTGGACTCTTCTGGTGTTTACCTTGTAAGATCTTCTGTGCATTGGCAGTGTAGCCGTGCGCATTGCGTGCAACGTTGCGTGCAGCCTCCAGGTGGCGCAGCATGATGTCACAGCCCTGGTCGCTGGTCTCCCAGAGCTCCACCCCGTCAGGTGCAATTGAAGGACGCTCCATCAGCGTGAGGAGTGGCAGGAGGAGGGGCACACAGACCACCGGAGGAGAGGAGGCTGCAGCAGAGTGAGGTTAGTAGAGTTTATGAGCGCCATAAAAAACGTAAACACTGACTTTTGCTTTTTTTTTTTAAACTGTAAATATAGAAAAAAAAATAATGCAATGTTCATCCTTACTGGCTGAATTTGAACAAAACGGTTTTTTAAAATGTTTTTTTAAATATAGCAACAGTAACCCTTTTATAAGACAATGCTTAAGATCTACTTACCCCATGTCTTTTATTAAAAAGACGAAACAAAATATACTCAATTTATTTGATGATGTTTCATTTATGAACAAAAGGATATATATATTTTAAATTACAGTAATGCTATCATCCAAATTCTCACATTCACCAGCAACTGTATCAGGCACACCTGTTCAACTGCTCCTTTACACAAATGTCTAATCAGCCAATCACATGGCAGCAACTTGATGCATTTAGTCATGTAGACGTGGTCAAGGTGACCTGCTGAAGTTTAATTTGAACTTTAAAATGGGGAAGCAAGGTTATTTAAGTGACTTCGAACACGACATGTTTGTTGTTATAATATATAAATTTTGTTCTTTTCGATATAGTCATACATGCTACGATCAACTTGGCAACCGGCCCTTCCCCTACCTACCCAGTGTGTTCATGCAGATTAGAGTTAAGTGTGGAAGAAGTGATTGCTGGCCAAAGAAAAGTGAAAAGATTTAGGGGCAAAACTAAGAGAGAAAAATAAAAACAAAGCAAAAACATATGCATCAAAATGTGTCAAATTAGCCGACACGTTAGTTATCGGGCTGCTGCTGCTGTACCGTTAACAGTAGCATCAACAACAACCCTCACAGTCACAGGAGGCTGCTGTTGCTAGCGGAGAGTGTGGTGGGCTGCCTGGAGCAAAAATGCCGTGGCAATCTTTTGTCCCAGTCCAGACCTGGTTATCATCTTACTTTCACCAGGAAAAACAAAGGTTGTTGATGAAAACTATGAAGTCAGTCGTGTGGTGTCTGGATTCTAAGTGACATGCACATCCTCGATACCTTTAATACAGCCCTGACTAACACAGAGATGGAGACCATGTAACCTGGATGCTACATTTTCAGAGAGTCCCAAAAACACAGCCTCACACTTCCTGTAAGTCTAAATGATGATTTGACGTAATTTCTTTTCTCTTTTTAGGAACTAATACGTATTATATCTTTAAGCTGTTATCAGTGGCTATAGGCTGTGTTTGTCCTCTTACCGGTGCCTTCGTACAGATTCTTGTAGAAAGGCTTGAGTGTTTTCTCGTAGCTGATAGCGGTCTGTGTGAAATTCCTTCGTAGAGTCGTCCATGTTTCCTCCAAACGACTGATCTACATCAACAACAAACATCAACTTTAAGAGTTTCAAACTACAATTAAATCTCTCCTTTTTTGTTTTTTTACATGATAGAGAGATTTTAGTTGTCATATTCGTTACCTGGTTTTATGATTTTTTTGTAAGGGAAAAAAATGTAATAAAGTGTGTGTGTCTATTCATATCATTGTGGGGACCATAAATTGGAAGTTTATTAAACTTATGGGGACCAAAATCCAGGTCCCACAAGTTTGAAGGCATTTTTGAGAATCAAAATGTGGCTTTAGTGTCATTGTTACGATTGGGTTATGCTTAGGGTTTAGGGTTAGGGTTAGTCATTCATTACCTGAGGCAGGTCCAGAGCTTTCATCAGGGCTGTGAAAGCAAACAGGTCCCCAACCGTGTCCTTCAGCTCTATAGCAACCAGAATGAGGCGATTTAAAGTGGAAGCCCGCTCCTCCACGCTACCCGTACATCCGAGAATATCCACAGCAACAGCTATTGCCATGGTGTGGTGCCTAGGAGACAGATGGAGGAGATGGGTGGATTACAAACAGCCCCCAACAGCAATGTCTTTTGTTCCTTATCTGATCGTCCAGCGGTGCAGTAGTCTAACTACAGACCTCACTGCCTGGAGGGGCGAGTTCCACGATGGGTTCCCCTGTACGACATGTTTAATGGTGGTATATCAGCTTCAGTTCAAACTTCTAACAACTAGTCCCTTAGTTATGCTGCGGGCTTCTCATGATGCACTGAGCTTTGTTCATCACTCTCCATGTCTTTATACACCTCTCTGCATTTAATCATTAGTTGTTATTGATCTCTGGCTCTCGCCCACATCTCGTCTTTGTCCTGTCTTCCTCCCCTCACCCAGAACTGGTCATGGCTGTCCTCCTCGACTCTGGTTCTGCTGGAGGTTTCTTCCTGTTAAAAGGGACTTTTTGCTTCCCACTGTCGCCAAGTGTTTGCTCGTACTGGGTCATTTGACTGTTTTATTGTAGGATCTTTATCTTAAAGTATAGAGCCCCTTGAGGCGGCTGCTGTTGTGATTTAGTTCTATACAATCAAAACAGAAGAGAATTGAATTGTGTCTGCTACTACCCCAAAAGAGCTAACCAATACAGTGTATTTACCTTTCCATCAGGTCCAGCCTCAGCTGACGACCGTGCGGCAGCGTCACCAGCTCCAGACCGGAGGACACGCCCATTTGACCTTTAAGCTCTGGAGTCACTCCCAGTATCCTGGCAACCTGGTGGGAAGAAAAGAAATTTTACAAGTAGCTGTTAGAACAGTTTTCTGTTATAGTTTGTCCCCCTGTTTCATTGTATGTGCCTAGCGCATGTGTTTGGATAAGGCAAAACATTTTATTTGGTTGCGTCTCTGCATCATGAAGATCATTTTTGTTCTGCAGCAGCATCATCAGGTGCAGGGTGGAAATCTAATTCTCTATAGTGCACAAACACACACACACATACACACAGAGAGGATCTGTGTGTCACAGCAGCAGTAAACATGTTTACCTGCAGATTAAATGCACGCGTCGACATCTGTCTAGTGTCAGTTTTCATTTTCCCAGCACAGTGTTGCTGTTTGCAGCACTTTCTGATATGTTATTATTAACAATGAATCATACCGGGTCTTTGCAGCACTAGTACATTTACTAAATTCTAAAACCATCAGTTACTGCCAGAGGTGGGAAGTAATGAAGTACAAATACTTAGTTTCTGTACTTCAGTAGAATTTTCAGGTATCTTGACTATTTATCTTTCTGACAACTTTTTATTTTTACTCTCTTAAATAAAAATCTGTACTTTCTTCTCCTTACATTTTCAAAACAGGCTCGTTACTATTGGTTTGATGCATTTTGAGGTGTGAGGCAAACCTTTTTTTACGTCACTCCATCAAACCAATTTGAGCCTAAACAGTAACACGTGAAAGACAATTCTGTTTGTGTATTAATCACCAGGTTGTATAAAAAAAAAGAAAGAGGTAAAATCATGTACCATAGTCGGGAATTAAAGTGGGCTGGTGTTTTGGGGTGAGTTTTTTTGTTTTGTGTTTTTTGGGCACGACACCAGAACGACTGCAGGTGTGCACAAGTGCTACAAAAGAGGAACGAAGAGTGAGAGGAGCAAAACGAGTATCTTTTTTAAATAATTCTATCAGCTTAACAAACATCAGCAAGCACACAAACTGCTTGTGTGCAGTTTGTTGCACAGTGTGTTGCTAGCTAAAGGTCCAGCTGCTGTATTTCACAAGGAGAGAAAAGAAAGAGCTCACTCAGAGATGGAGAAAGATAAGACAGGACAGGAGAGGAAGAACAGAGGTTAGATGTAAAGGTAAGGATGCTCAGTGGGATTTGATATACTGGAAAAGCTTTAATATAAATCCTCATGTTTTAACCCAAATATTATGTGTGCACATGTCACATTACGCTTTATCATAATGCGAAACTACTGCTAATCAAACTGAGGCAGACTGTTTTTTAAGAATTGGATGAAGATCCTCTGCAGGTAGTGAAGATAAAAACAGGTTAGTTTGCTGTACTGTGATGGATTAAAAGTAAAGAACAGTGTGTGACTGGTGCACAGTGGCTGTGTTTCATGGTCAGAGTTAGATTATATCAGGTACAGCACAGATGAATTTGAAGTTAAGCTGATGATGCTGAGATTCATTCATCAAATTCCACCTTCACCAACTTTATACTGTCTAATATAAAGACAGTGCAAACAGTGTAGAGGATGGAACAGGACAACTCATAAAACATCTGCTTACATCTTAAATTGAGGTGTGTAAATCCACAAAGGGCAGTAAACCTCAGAGCAGTAGCCCAGATCAGCTGATCACAGCCTGTACACAAAGAAACTCACTGCAGCCCTCAATAGAAATTGTGATTCTTTTCCCCACGCTGAGCGACGACAGCTGATGTTAGAGTTTCACCACACGCTCAATCCCACTTTAACCTCTTCCCTACTCATTTTCCTGACAACAGAAAATTGAAATATTCTTTTATTTTCCTTCTTTTTCACTGCTCACTTTCTACTTAAGTAGTCATTTCATAACAAGCTTCCTTTGTTTTTGTATATATATACACACACATATATATACACACACATATATACACACATATATATACACA